ATGTAGTCGACTGCAGTTTCACCTTCGCCTGGGTCTCATCAGCACCCCCAAGTGGAAGTAAACACGGTTAAGTTAGCGTATAATTTCGACATGTTACCATTACGTCACAATTCGATTGGAGCCAGTGGGTCACAGGGCAGACGAGAATTGCAAGACTAACCACGCCTCTATTAGTGGGATTGTCGATTAATCAAACCTAATTTGCCAGCACAATTGACTAAATTACTTACATCCCTCAAATTTGAGGGTATTTCAAAACTACCGTTAGAAATTTAATAAAAACTGTATTCATCTTAGGTCGCAGAGTAGCGAAGGGCTAGTTGTAGATTAGACTCCGGCGAGTTAGAAACCGCTTTCCGCCCCCCCTTTGGGGGCAAGCGTAGGTGACGTTTAATGGATCCGGGAGGCCTATTAATATCATTGTGTTAAAATTGAACTATCGCTTCTTTATCACCCTATACAATTTATGATTAGTACAGCCACTGTTCAAGGGCTCCCAGGAGTTTCAAAATCTACTTATTTTGCTTCAAGCTTACACTTGGTCTGGCTCATGGAAGAATGTGAAAATCACAGTACCAATACTTTTCCGGTTGAGGTTGACCCACTAATCTATTAACCCAATAATTTGGATGGATTAAAATTCGCCCCCAAAATGATGTCAGCTGATACTTTCAACTCCCATACAGGCGTGACTAGATGATCACCTTTGTCGAACTGGCATACAACTCGCTGATCGAGAAGTTTGTCGGCTTGCAAGCCCCTTGACAGACGACCACCGGAAACCGCTGCTCCTGGCGCACTCGGCATGGCGTATTGTTGGCCAAGCGGAGAGTGGCCACCGTCAATTCGGCCAGACCACAAACTGGGCTGAGCACTCTGGCGCAGCAAGCCGGCGATCCGCCTTGTTGAGTCCATTTTGACGATCCTGTCGGGAGGCTGACCGGTTCGACACGAATAAGACTTGACAATGGGCGCACTTCGATGAGTTCAGCAACTGCTCCACCAGCGCTGCTGACCCCGGCAAAACCGGAAGCTGAGGGCGCAGTAACTGTTGCCATGGCGATCTCGTCTTCTCGACTGCAGGCAGGCACCTCGTTCGGGAGGAGCGGCCGTTCGGTCAACTGGCCAGAAAGGCAGATGAGGAGAGTACACTCGTTGCCTCGGCCGAGAACTGTACCCTCCTGGGTGGGTATGGAGACAGACGCAACAGACGGATCAAAGAAGATTGGAATCGATTAGAAAATTAGCATCGTAGTAGTAAAGTATTAAGTTAAATTAAATCGAAGGGGGAGACTGTGACCATACCAGCGGCGGCAACATCTTGGTATTCATATCTTCAATTAAATTATCTTCCCTATCTTGTATTATTACTAGTATTATCTAGTAGTTTGGCATTGTCTTATCCGTCACTAGCAGAAGATTGTCATCAAGATTGCTTGAGCAACTATGTCCAGTCTGAAACCCTAGTGCCAGCATCAAGGAAAACAAATTCCCCTAATCAGTCGTAGTCAGCTGAGAGGCTGTTGCCCGGCCACTTGAAT